TCGTTTCATTTATTATCAACGAGTATACTCTTTTTGTTTGGTGTTTCTTCACTATTCATAGATGTCTTTTGAAATCTGAACTGTTTAATAATTCTACCACTTTATCTCCTACCAATTCATCAACATTATCAAATTCAGTTTTTCTCATTTTTTCTAATTCATTTAACTTCTTTGAAGTATCTCCTTTTTCAAAATCTCTACAAATCGGAGCTCTATGGAATACGTTACATTTCATACCTACACCCACTATGGAATGTTTGTTAATATACGCTAGCCATAAATCTAGTACTTCTGGATTAGTATCCCAAACTCTAACTAATCTTTTATGCGTGTGTCTTTCGAAATTTTCCTTCGATTTTGCTTGGGCAAAAGGTGATTTTATAACAGTCCAACGTTCTCTTCTAGTTGGCAATGGCTTTGGACCGGTCAAACGCATACCTAGATAATAACCTGCTCTTAAAATGAAGTTTGCAAAGAAATCCAAATTTTCATTATCATAGGATCTTAATTGTAGATCAGCAACTAAATTACCATATTTTATAGGATTCCTTAAAGGAGCATGGTAGACAGCCTCAACATTCACAGGCAAAATCTTATTAGAAGCCTTTAATATAGGTTTAGATACAGCTGATACAACAGTATCATTTTCTAAGCGAACTGTAGATTGATATCTAACAATTGGTTGGATACCAGCAGCGAACCTCTTGAACATGCCTGTAAGGTGTATATGTGCGTGTATATATTTGATTCTTCGAATTCAACTAACTAGACCTAAGACCCAATGTCAACACTTACTATCCATAGTATAGTTCAATTATATGTTCTGTTTCTTATAGACATCAGTTAGCTTATTTGAAAAATATCCAAATGTCAAATTAAGATTTAAAGGTTTTCTTCATTTACCAATGGTCACATGACCATTACCCGGACAAACACAGACACACATACATACATATAAATAATCTAGTGTAGAATAGCGATTACCTGTATAAATGAGAGTTGGGATTTGGTGTCAGTAATAGAGTATATAGAGTATTATGAATTGACAAGACTTCACAATAATGAAATTTTATCATTTATCTAATTGTAGAAATTAATTATTATTTCCTGGGTGGGCTACTGATCCATCTTTTGGGGAAATTGTTGAAAATACCTGTTCCAACTGATGCGGGTTCGATTGACTAACAGGTTTATTAGAATCAATTGGATATATGTTTGAGAAATATTTAAATCGACATTCTTATTCTTGTTGGGATACTTGGGACCATAACAGAGATAGATAGATAGACAAGAGGCTATTGAGGGAAACATATTGAAGTAAAATGGTTCAAGATATCGTTTGGACAGGATCCAACATAATTGAAAATAAAAGTCAATACAAAGTAGAAAAGTGTTTCGATAATCTAGTAATAGGATGATTTTAAGTAGTATTATCTTATACCAATACCACTCGCTTTTCTTTATTGCCTATTTGTTTGTTTGCTTCAATCAATTGAGTCGCTTATGGTTAGTGTCCTACTTTAAATAGTTGGGCCCCATAGTAATATTTAAATATTGAAAATTTGATATTTAGCGATGATGAGATAGAAAGAAAGAGATGTAAGGAAAGAGCAAATACTAAACTATGATACAGATAATTTAAGAGTCAAGATAGACACGTATTGATTTATAGATTGTCTGATTGTGTTGAACTTGTTGTTTTTGGTTTGGCCTTTTTTTCACTTTACTTTGGGAGAACAAGTAAAATCAGAATTAGTATTTGGCATTGTAGTATTGACTTCATTACAGCAATATGGGTAAAAGTAGTAAAGATAAAAGAGATTTATATTATAGAAAGGCTAAAGAACAAGGGTACCGTGCTAGGTCTGCCTTTAAATTGTTACAGTTGAATGAACAATTCCATTTTTTAGATGATCCAAATTTGAAAAGAGTAGTTGATTTATGTGCTGCTCCGGGTTCCTGGTCACAAGTTCTTTCAAGAAAGCTATTTACAGAAGACCCTGATAAAGAGAATACTAAAGATAAGAAAATTATTGCTGTTGATTTGCAACCTATGTCACCAATCGACAATGTTATTACTTTACAAGCAGATATTACCCATCCAAAGACTTTAGCTAAAATTTTAGAATTATTTGGGAATGAAAAAGCTGATTTTGTCTGTAGTGATGGTGCTCCAGATGTGACTGGTTTACATGACCTAGATGAATATGTTCAGCAACAACTTATCATGAGTGCATTGCAATTAACTACCTGTATCTTAAAGACTGGTGGTACGTTTATTGCTAAGATTTTTAGAGGTAGAGATATCGACTTATTATATTCACAGTTAGGTTTTTTATTTAAAAGAGTCATCTGTGCAAAACCAAGATCATCAAGGGGTACATCGTTAGAAGCTTTCATTGTCTGTATGGATTATTCTCCTCCAAAAAATTGGTTCCCAGAACTAGATGTTAATAAATCAGTAACTGAATTTTTTGAAGGATGTATGGTTACAAAGGATGAATCATCAAACGATATCCTACCTGCATGGGTTGAAGAAGACAGAGTTATAGCAGAATTCATGTCATGTGGTGGGTTAGATAGTTACGATTCTGATGCTACTTATCACATAGATGATGACTTGTCATCAAATATAGCAAAGATTTCATTAGACCCGGTACAGATGCCAACCAATCCACCATATAAGAAAGCATTGGAACTGAAAAGAAGTGGTAAACTTACTCGTGCAATTTAAGACATTCCAACATAGCATCACATTAATTTCATAAATTATATATTTAATTGTATAAAAATCAATAATCGTCAGATAAAAACAAAAAATAATTAAAGTATCAATAATTCAAACAGAATTTAGTAGTTTAAATAATCGAATAGGATTGTAGCATAGTATTGACCTGTTTCGATATTGGTTGGAGAGACGTCTCCGAGATAATTATATCTATTACGCATATACTACTCAATGTCCGGATTAACAACATAATTAAATCGTATAACTCAAAATAAACAACCATGGTTGTATCGGACAATAACGTAATTTATATCATCAATGACGAAACATGCTCATCGATTTTAATTTAAATATATTTCAACGTGAAATAAAATCAACCTGACAGCAATATTAAGATCAGAACTTAAAAGACCAATTAACGTTCAACTTTATAGCTGATTGATCAGATAGATAGGACTGGTGACGAGGTTTTAGTGTTGGTTTAGGCGATCCTTTGTGAATTATTTGGAAGAAAAAATGAAGTCAAGCGATGGAGTAGAGATGCATAATGATATACTGTCTTCACCGTCCAAAGAACTTATGTCTGCTAAGATGAAACATAGATATGAAACGGGAGAATCACCTAGGAAGAGAGGAAGAGGTACCAGAAAAAGTCAATTGGAATCTATTACAAATAATAATTCGAAAGGAAGTAGGAGAAGAAGGACAAGAAATCGTGAAGTGAATGAAATAATTGATGATCAAGAAGTAGATGTTGCTGATAAAGCAGAGATCAATAATCAATTATCTGACAATAAAGCAGAAGATTCTGATTCAACTGGGGATATAGGTGAGGATGCTGGCGAAGAAGAAGATGACGATGATGACGAGAGTGCATACGAATCTGCATCTTCTACAATTTCGAATACCGTACCTAGAAGGGTTTCCGTCAACACTTCTAACCGTAAGAGGAAAGAAGTTGATCCATTTGCGGATGAAGGTAAAGATGAAGTCCCTTCAAGGACAAGGAAACGTACTAAAACTAGGACTCAAAGTACATATGACGAAAGCAATTTCGACATCGATATTGCTTATGATGATGATAATGAGAAGAATGATAAGCATTTACCTAGCAGTCCTTTTGGATCCAGCAATGGAGACGACGGCACAAATAATATATCATTAGGCGTGCACTTAGAAAATGAACCAATGACTCCAACAAAAAATAAAAATAAAACTAATAATAATAATGTTACTTCTAATCATGATTTTACATCTCCTTTGAAAAAAGTCATCATGGACAATTTAAAAGAGTATAAAGATAATAATAAGCAAATATCTTTAAAATTAGACAGGAATTTCAAGCCTACTAGAGCACCTTCAGAATCTAAATATAGAAGACCTAATGCTAGAGGGTTCAATTCATTTTTAGACACTTTTGAAGGCTATTTTGATCAAAAGAAACCCTTTAAACTATTATCAAAATCTAAAAATTCAATGAGTATGGCACCAACTATCACGAGAGAAGAATTTGCAGTTATATCTAACTGTTTCAATAAAAACTTTAAAAAAGAAAGTAGATTTCAATTATTACAAATCCAAGAAAAATTATTTCCTCAATATTGGTTTGAGTTAACACAAGGGTTTTCATTATTATTTTATGGGGTTGGTTCAAAACGTGAATATCTAGAAAAATTTGCCTTTGAATACCTATCACAAGAAATAGCATACGCGACAATGAGAAATAATCCATCTATACAGTTGGAAACCGGTATTCCGTGTATTGTCATCAATGGGTATAACCCTACTTGTAATTATAGAGATATATCGAAGGAGATATCTCAAGCCTTATATACTGAAGAACTGGAGAGAAATGAAACCAAATATTGGGGGAACCATGTATTACTACAAATCCAAAAAATGGTTAGTTTTTATAAAAATCAACCGTCAGATATTAAATTAATTGTTGTAATTCATAATTTAGATGGTCCAGCATTAAGAAAAGAAGCATTCCAAACAATGTTGAGCTATCTGGGTAAAATTAAACAAGTTTCATTAATAGCATCTGTTGATCATATTTATGCGCCAATTTTATGGGATAACGTTAAAGCACAAGATTTTAATTTTGTTTATCACGATGTATCCAACTTTGAGCCAGCCAAAATTGAATCCTCATTCCAAGATGTGATGAAATTAGGTAAAAGTGAAAATAATAACGGTGCAGAAGGCTCAAAATATGTGTTACAATCGTTGACATCCAATGCTAAAAAAATGTATAAACTACTTGTCGAAACACAATTGTTTAATTTAGAACAATCCAATAAAACAACAGATGGGAAAGTTGCACCAAATAAACGTGGTACATTAACTACTGGTGTTGAGTTTAGAACATTTGCTCATCAATGTGCATCGGACTTTATTGCATCTAACGAAATGTCATTGAGAACAATGTTAACAGAATTTGTTGAACATAAAATGGCTACAATTTCTAAAAATTTGACAGGGACAGAATATGTCTGGGTTCCTTACAGTTATTCAGAATTGAAAAAATTATCAGAGGAAGTTTTAAAAGATGTTTAAAAGAATGTTTATAAAAATATGTCATATTATGCTTTTATATCTTTCTTTCCTTCCATAACACTTCGATTCTTCTTTCCCTCTCCCCCTCCACACCTATATTACATATTTATATAGCATCGTCATATCATAATTACGCATTAAAAACCAGAAACACGAACATAATTCAATCAATTCATCAATTAATCAAACATCAAACAAACTCAATGACAATAACGTATCTTATAAGTCTACCCTGATAAGTTCATATAAACTATTTAAGTCCATCTGTCTATTATTGCCATAACTATTAGTTTTCTAAAGGTGCTGCACTGTTAGCGCCTGAGGCCTTTTCCGTTTAAAAGTTTCATACATAATAAATTATTTAGAACAAGTAAGTTTATAATGTAAGATAAGTAAGATATATAAATAGTTGATTAAATTTATTATATAAGTTAGTTTAAAGGTTGTTGAATTAAAAGGATCTTACAAGGGACAGTGTGTTGATATATATTGGAATTATTTTTGATAACTAGCAATGTCACAACAGGGTATGATGTCAAGCCATGGCTCGATCAATCGCCCACCACCTATTGCATCGCCTCCAAAAGTTTTGGATAGCTACGTACCTGGAACGATTGTAATAGTTGGTATCCATAAGGTTGAGGTTGTTAAATATTTAGCTGAAGGTGGGTTTGCTAAGATATATGTTGTCAAGTTTCTGGAGTACTTGAGTACTGTGGATCCAAATGGTAAAGAGGTGTTACAGAATGGAGATCAGTTGTGTTTGAAGAGAGTCTTGGTTCAAGATGATAATGGATTGAATGAGATGAGAAATGAAGTAGAAGTAATGAGAAAGTTGAAAGGTGCTCCATGTGTGGTTCAATATTACGATTCTAATGCGTCTCGTAGAATAGACGGTGCACCAGGATACGAAGTCTTGTTATTAATGGAGCTTTGTTCAAATAATTCATTACTGGATTATATGAATCAGAGATTGGCTACGAAATTAAGTGAAGATGAAATTTTGAAGATTATGTTTGATGTAACTTTGGCAGTCGCTCAAATGCATTATTTGCCTTCCCCGTTAATTCATAGAGATATTAAGATTGAAAATGTTCTAGTTGATTCAAAGAATAATTTTAAACTATGTGATTTTGGCTCAACATCTACGTGTCTGCCGATTGTATCAAGTCATCAGGATATTGCCATATTGACACAAAACATCTATGTACACACAACACCTCAATATAGGTCACCTGAAATGATTGATTTATACAGGTGTTTACCTGTAAATGAAAAATCAGACATTTGGGCATTAGGTGTATTTCTTTACAAATTGATGTTTTATACAACTCCCTTTGAAAGAACTGGACAATTTGCAATTTTGCATTCAAAATACGAATTCCCATTGAATAATTATTCCTCAAAGTTGATCAACCTTATTATTGTCATGCTAGCCGAAAATCCAAATTTAAGACCTAATATCTATCAGGTTTTGAATCAAATTTGTTATATCTCGGGAATAAAAAACCCTATGGATGATGCATATGGATTGGGTGCGTATAGCTTTGAAAAATATACCGAATATCAATCGAAACTACAGAATTATCAAAATCAAATGTATCAAATTCAAGTTCGCAAAATTAAAAATCATGGGTTGTTGAATCCTGGTGACGATATGCTACTAGATGATTTGTTTATTAATTCATTCGAAGTTGCATCCAAAGTTCCAGTTAGCATTGGTGAACATAGAACTCAACCAATGATTCCCTTTCCTGGTCAAGAAAACACTCAGAACATGGAACAAAATGCAATAAATGGAGGTCAAATGTCTGAAAATAATGGTACAAATGTAGCACCGGAAACTTCTGGCAAAGCCAGTGAAAATCCTACTGTAACAGATGATAAGGTTTCACCTCCAATAGAGAATGAGACCAAGCCTTCAGATTCAAATGAAATTGAGAATTCGGCATCTTTAAATGAAGAAAGTTCGGAAGTTGTAGTTGATGCTCAAAGTTATAATATTTCAAGTAGTCGTCAATCGAGTTTTGTTAATATTAATAATTACACAAATAATAGCTCAATCTCATCGACAATGCAACATTCTAATTTGAATAATATCCCTGCGAGATCGACGGTTGAAATAAAATCATCGGATGAGCTATCAACTAGTTCTACAGCGAAGAGAGAACATTTATCAAGTAATCCATTCCCTCGTTTGAATACGGATGTCAACGTTGCATCAAGTACAAATGTGAACCCGAGTAATATGTCTATTGATTCGAGAATCCCATCTCAAACTTTAGGTCAATCACCGCCCCCATCGCTACCACAAAGCAATCCTATTCCAATCATTCAACAAGGATATCAAGGTATGTTTCCTTCAAGTCCAACTAATGGTCAACCGTTAAAACATGTGATATCTAGCGATTCAATTGCATCTACAATGTCAAGTACAATCTTCCAAACTCCACAGGGTCCAATTGTAGCCCCAAATATGGTTGAGATGTCTGTGAAAACACAATTACAGAGTTCGATTAACAATTCGGCTAAAACAACACCGACAGAAGACACTACAACAGCATCTGGTATCCAGCCTCCACCACCTGCATTTACTGCTGTCTCTCAGAATATAATTGAATCCGGGTCGGAAAAGAACATGGATCTGAATTTGAACGAAAAGGTTGAAGAGATCAAGGTAAACGATGATTCTGCGCCATTAATCGATCTTACACCAGCAACCAGTGGGGTAGAAATGCAAGGCGGATTATTAGGAGACAATATTGGGACTGATCTTATAAGCGACGGACAAGGTATAACTCATAATAATATCGAAACAAATGACAACGATAACGATGCTGAAATCGTTAATGAAAGCATTGAAATTGACTTTGATCAAATTCGATTAGATGATCAATCAAGTCACAATACAGCTACCTTACAACTACAAGATCAAATAGATAGAGTAAATTCAGGGACTCCATCTTCATCAACCACGCATTTAGGAACACCCGCAGATAACAATGTTAATACACAAATGTCAGTTCCTTGATATCCGATGTTAGATTATACCGTATCTCACCTCATTTCATTTCATCATAGTCATCATATATAAATATATACTTTTACGTAAATTTGTAATTCCCCTCTACAATTTTTAAACCTATATACATACACTTATTTCTATAAATACAATACAATTCAATATATTACAGAACAAAATTGAGATAATCTACTAATCAGACAGTTCAACTTTCAAAAGTAACCATCATCTCTTGTATCAACCGATAGAATACATTTAGTTTTATCGACGCAGACACATCGATAAAATTCCTTGTTAGCAGGTGATTAAAATTGGGGGGAAGAAGGGGGGTTGAAGAGAAAGGAAGAGTAATGTCAAACCAGGCAAGGATACAGAGACAATCAGGGTGTTTAAATATTCTACTAGTCAGGTCATGGTTCTTGTCCATGACAACAACAACGGTACCCAATCCATATATACATATCTGTATTACTGTCTGTATTGTTGGAATAGAGACATATTTCCTCATTTTTTAAGGTCAAACAAGAAGGGAAGGGAAAAAAAAACTATTTAAAGAGAAGAGAGGAAAGAGGAAAAAAAAAAGAGTATGTACAGGTTATTAATTTGTAGTTTTATATTTATAAATATCTATACAAGGTAGAGGTTATCCATTTGGTTAACATTGATCGTGTTTGTTTGTTGACGAAGTTCAGTGTGAACGATATTGGAATACTTGGAGTGATTCAGAATAGTTTGGACAAAGATGGTACATTCATCCTTTAATTATGTAGAGACGATTAAAGAACGTAAAGAGAAGCAAGGTGAGACTGAGACGTTGAAAGAGAAGGCTGAAGATATGGCAGAGAATGTGTATTGGGCATATTATGTTCATTTGCCATTCTATGTGATGACTGAAGGAGATTCGTTCTGGCTGCATGTGTTCTTTTTGTTGATATTTAGTATGGGTTTGTTTGGTGTGTTGAAGTGGTTCTTGTTATGATTTTACAGAGGCTTTTGAACAGGAGCAAGAGCATGAGCAAGAGCATGAGCAAGAGCATGAGCAAGAGCATGAGTAACAATAAGAATAGTGGTAACAGAACCAGATTCACAAATAATAACTTTTCATAACGGCATTGGGCAAGAATGAGCCCAACTACGGGGATAATTTAAAAATTAACAGGGTCTTTACAAACATGTATATTCCGGAATAGATTGCATAAACTGTACTATTTTATAATCCTATATCTTCAACGTACGTACATACATTTTATAACAGTTAAATACTGATAATACTAATACTAATACTAATAACGACATTTAGTCGTTTCTTCATACCAGTCTGACTGCTTAGATCTTTGTTTTACTACAACCTTTGGTCATGTGACCATCTCGATAACCACATGACCAGAATCTAAAAAATTCCCCAAAACTTAGTTACCCTATCATCACGTGACACACCAATTATTGGGTTTTCCCTCAAAATTTTGAAAAATTTGAAGTTCAAAATTGGCAGAATCTTACATAGAATGATCTAAATACATTTGATATTTAACAAGATATATAAGGGCAGGAACATATATATACATCCAAATAGTGATCCAGTCCATAATCTCAAGAGGTTACTATTATTATAGCTTAGAATTGAGTCTCTATTAATCATCAATTTCTTTTAGTTTTAATTTTTTTTTGCTATTTGGAAAATATTGGACTACATCCTAATTTAGTTCATTTCTTTTTTGAGAATTGCATTATCTGTGAGCAAGTGAATCGTTTGATAAGATCGCATTTTCTTTACTCTAAGGTTTCCTAGTTAAGTCATATCAATAGTTTTCTCATTTGAACCTGCATATTAATCAGGAGCCGAGTGGAGTTAGTGAATGACCTGGACTTAAATTTTGAATTTTGAATCATATATAAAGAGCACTGGTTAAATAGATAGAAGTTGAAGTTAGGGAAAGATGATTAGAAATGGAATAAAACAACGTAATTTGCATGTTACTAAATTTTTGAAAAATAGTACTACAACTACAGCAAGAAATATAATGTCGGGCGGAAATTTTGATACTTCTTCTGTTCAATTCACAGTCCAAGATACGGCAAGAATAGTTACCTTAAACAGACCCCAAAAGTTAAATGCCTTGGATACTGAAATGTGTGATTCTATCTACAACACTTTAAATGAATATTCAAAGAGTAAAGCTACAAATTTGGTTCTAGTGAAATCTTCAAATCAGCCAAGATCTTTATGTGCTGGGGGTGATGTTGCTAAATGTGCATTGAATAATTTAATTGGTAAAAAAAAATATTCTTATGATTTTTTTAAAAGTGAATATTCAATGAATTTTCAAATGGCTACTTATCCTAAACCAATAGTTGTTTATATGGATGGTATCACTATGGGTGGTGGTGTAGGTTTATCCATTCATTCTCCATTCCGTATTGCTACAGAAAATACAAAATGGGCAATGCCTGAAATGGATATTGGTTTCTTCCCTGATGTGGGCACTACTTTTGCATTACCAAGAATTATCAATATTGCGAATAATAAATCTCAAATGGCAGCATATTTGTGTTTAACTGGCGATGTTGTTACCGGCGCAGACGCTTTCGTACTGGGTCTGGCATCTCACTATATTCCTCATGATAACTTAGAAGGGTTACAGAACAGGTTGTCTGAACTACATCCATTCGCTGGTGGTAGTAGCAACAATGGGAAATATTTCGATATGGTCGATGAAGCAATTCAAGAGTTTTCCACATCTTTACCAGATTCTTATAAATTTGGTTTTACCGATTGTCAATTGGATGTCATTGAAAGAGCATTCAATATTGATGCTAATGAATCTGTTACTTCAATTCTGAACTCTCTAGATAGCTTCGCCGATGCTAGTGAAGAACATGCAATGTTTGCTAAGCAAGTTAAAGATAAATTATTGCAAAAATCTATGACATCTCTACAAGTTGCCTTGAAATTATTGCAAGAAAATTCAAAGGACAGTATAGAATCTGCTATGAAGAGGGACTTATATACAGCTGCTAATTTCTGTAACGATACAGAAGTTGTTGAATTTTCGCAAGCTGTCAAACACAAATTAGTGGATAAACAAAAGACTCCATACAACTGGAAAAAAAGGGAAGAATTATCTGCACCTAAAGTTTTGTCATTGCTTTCCCCAAAACCTTCTATTCTTATTGCGCTAAATAAGAATCATGATAGTGTAACTTGGAAAGAATATCCGTATCATCGTAAATATCAATTGCCAAGAGAAGAAGACATCACGAATTACATCACAGAACTTAATACCGCAAATGGTGGTGTTGGAAATATAACGAAAAATGAAGTTATCGAATATTTCACAACTATCAATGAATCTACCAAAGGTAAGATTGGGGTTGCTGAAATTTGTAAACTAATCATTGCCAGGAACTATACGTTCAATAAAGCAGGAGGCTTACAATCAAACATTGCCGAATCGGTATCTGATCAATTATTATAATAGATTTATTTAAGTATGGGAAGGCATCAAATCTAGTGTTTTTTTGTTCTTTTGTTTGGTTCTTGGTTTAGATTAAAAAAAAAATCAAAGAGGAAAGGGAGAATTGTATTTAAACATTCGTCAAAGTTCCCTAATATATCTATGATTTATATCTTGTTTTAAACAATTTTTATATTCACTGTAAATAGAATATTAAGCACATATGTAATGAAATTTATTACTATATTTAATTATCGATAGTCTGTCAAATGGCTGTGATGGTCAGTCTTCCCTACAGCTCAACTGTCGGTTTCATTTTTTAAGGACGATTTTTCAAATTAAAAAAAAATTATAAGGTACATTAGAAATATTGGAACTTTTCAATAGCAAAAGAGAATGGCATATATCAAGATTAACATTCTGTGTGTATATTAAAGAGGTAAGGTCGAGGGTACATTAATTGTGGCAATTCTTTAAATATTGGTTATCCTTAGTGAATTGGAAAAAGCTCAATTATGGGGGATCAGATTTTAAGTGGACTTGGTGTCCCTAGTGTTATTGCAAAAGATGAATGTATCTATTGTTTTGAGAATTGTCTAAATGATATTCATTCGGATATCATAACCGAGGAAATGCACTCTTTGGATTTATGTCTATCCTGCTTCCAAACTATCTGTGAAAGACATGTTTCTATTCACAACAGGGCAACACATCTTTCATCAGATGTTGATCATGCTAGTTACTTGCAAATAGCTAAGGTAACAAAGTTAAGTGAAGAATTGGAGGAAAAGGATACTAGTAAGAAGTTGAAACTGCAAGTAATTGAAAGATCTGATGATGAGAAGTATGAAACTATTTGGGTTTTAAAACAATTTAATGGTGAAACCCAAAATTTTACAACAGTCACAACGAGTAACGAAGAACAATTATCAATCGAATCTAAGGAAGTGATTGAAAAGATTTTAAGAGCTAAATCGCAGAACTTAGTTGATGAAACTAAAACTTGGGAACTAGAGATAAAATCCTGTCAACATACACAGAATTTCAAAAATTTAAAAGATTTAAAGAATAGTCAACTGGATAAATGTTCATCTTGTAATTTGACAAGTAACTTATGGTTATGTTTGAATTGTGGAAATATTGGATGTGGTAGACAGCAAGTTGGAATTGATGGTAACTCTCATGCATTAAGCCATTTTCAAGCTAATCCAGAACATGCTTTAGCAGTTAAATTAGGATCACTTTCAAATGAATCATATGATATGTATTGTTATTCGTGTGATGATGAGGTCAAATTTGAAAATAAGGAACAATTCGAAAAGATCTTGTTGCAATTTGGTATAAACCTAGGTAATAAACTTGCAAGTGAAAAAACATTAGTTGAGCTTCAAGTTGAACAAAATTTAAATTGGGATTTCAAAATGACTGATTCTAAAGGAAATGATTTGATTAAGTTAGATGCAAATGATCAAAACGGATGCGGTCTAATTAATTTAGGTAATTCATGCTATATGAATTCTGTTCTTCAATTATTATTTAATGCTGGGGTACCAGATTGGTCATTAGAACAGATTGGAACAGAATTTCCATTAGATGTAGTATATCCTTCTAACAATATATTATGTCAATTGATTAAATTAAGAAACGCGATGAAAATTGAACCGGAAAGGTATCCAAATGGTATTAAACCAACTTCTTTTAAAAGATGTATTGCACAGGCACATGAAGAATTTAGCAGTTCTAGACAGCAGGATTCCATGGAATTTTTCACATTTTTGATTGAACAATTAGACAAAAAAGTCTTGAATAAATTTGTAGGAACCATTCCTACTGATTTATTAAGATTCACTATGGAACAAAAACTACAATGTACAAGTTGTCATGGGGTTAAATACACGGAACAAACGCATGGATGTATTCAACTTCCTTTATTAAAAAATGATGATTCTCAGGAG